CCCCCCCCCCCCCCCCCTATACGATGTGGTTTATTCGAATAATTTCGTGATACGTTCGTTCATTTTATTAGTGCTTACACGTTTGAGAATTAAACTCTGCAAAACTAAAGCTTTTTTGTCTTTTTGAAACGTATTTTTGGAGTATTGGCAAGTTTTACCATTCAACGATTTATAAACTAATATTGAAATAATGCAAGTAAAAAATAGTTTCATATATACGCGCTTTCACTGTAATGAGTAATGACACTTCATACATTCTCTTCGCATAATTTTCATTCTATTTTTGCGTGTCATATTTTTTTGTCATATGACACAGGAATAGCAGTCTAGTTATAAAACAAGAAACCAATTTACTTTTTATTGCTTTATAATTATAGCGTAAAATTTTTCTTTTCCTGACGAGTGACGTTTGTCCTTTGTCGTTGAACGCGAAGCTTATAAGCTCTCAATTTTACGATAACGATGCAGACGTTGATGCTAAGCAATCTTAACAATTCTTTAATAACCTTTTATATTCTATAAATCCATTTCTGAAAATATTTAACATATTAAAAAATGCTCAATACATTTATACAACGAAATGTTCTGGGCCTTCAATGGGTATGACACATTGCAAGCACACATGATGCGCCCTCTTTAAACTTTGTCATGACAGGCTGATCAACAGTAACTAGTCAAAGAATTAGAAAACTACTAAATGGTTCAAAGATTTTTGTACATGAAAATTTTGAGCGAAAACTACCTATGAAAAGAACGGTCTAATACCCGAGCTTTTCTGCGATATGGTAGTATAATAATATTTACCTGACATGTTGTCAATTGTTCAAGATCTGGTCGTGCTAGCTTTTCAAGGAAAGCTCAGTTAAAATTGTCCGAAGGCGCGAGTAAAACGGCAGCTAAATTTATAATAAATTTGGTACACAAATATCTAATACATTTAATTTTATTTTGTTTTGAAAAAATGACCCCATCATTTTCCTGTTCCTTGAAAATAGTGGAGCATACACATTAGCTAATCAAAACCATTTTTATATCAAATCTATTTTGAAAATTTCGTTTGAACTACATACATCTGAGCCACTGGCCCGCACTTGGACAAGGGCCACACAACTAGCTATTCTGTATTTTTGCCCATGATTTTTATTAAAATAAGTTTCCATTTTACAATGACACTGACAAATATGTAAGACTGATATAATACAAACTTAGAAAACGTTCGTCTGACTATATGTAGTGTAGCATATCGCTGTCGGCACTCTTTTTGACTCTGTAAGCTCATGGACATTATCCAAGGCGGTAACCAACAATTTGAACTGATCCGTTGACGCTCGCGCCAGTTGCTTTTAGTTCAGCTTTAATTTCTCTTGCATCCCCAGGACCCACAGGGAAAGAAATATTCTCTGAATTGTAGCCATACGCCTTCTGCTCGTACACGTAGCAGGCCAACTTCCGTTCGATAAGCCTATTTGGAATGGTAACGCTTACAACCAGCTCGCCAGATTCATCTTTGCCTGAATTATATCCAGTGAGGGCCTCAGAATAAACAATGACTTCATAGGCATCCTGCGGTGCACCTTCGTTTCCTACTTTTATGGTCTGTTGTTTGTTTTGTCCAAGATTGTGCACTGTGCCACTAAGCGGATAGAGGTTCGACATCTGAAAGAAAATTCAAATTTAACCCAAAAACCACTAACTTTTATCATACAAAATATACAATCAACATTTCTAGAATTTAGCTATTCACAAAACAGAGCAACGAATGGGAAACCAAACGTTCTCTAAACGCAATGTTTGAATAACTTCAGAAACACGTTTTTCAGTAATCTCTTCTCGTTCAAGGATTTTCTTATAATAACTTACTATAGGTAATCGCATGGGGCCGAGTAAAGTTAAGGTTTAATTTCACTTGTGTTTTCAAAGATTCACAAATTGTGAAACTTTGAAAACACAAGTGAAATTAAACCTTAATTTTACGAATAACTATGCGATTACTTGTTAATCATACAGGCCAAAATTTATTCGCAACTTAATTGTGAATTTGTCAAATTCTTGAACCTCGTATATCTCCGCCTTTTCGCCGATGTTTCTTAATGCTGCCCTGACTGCCAATTTCTTAAATACTCCAACCAATAAATTTGTACTTGTTCTAAGTGTTCAAGTATTTCACTAGAAATTTTTAATTCTTCAATAATATCATTATCCGTGACGACAAAGCGAGAAGCCATTGTTTTTATTGCTATTTAAAACAAGAAACTTCCCGCGCTTGCGTCTCAGCCAATCAGGTACAAGTAATTTTGCCCTGAATGAAGAGAAAAGCCCTCCTCATTGGCCAACCAGTGAGTAAATTTGCCCTTTTATTTAAAAAATAAAATGCTATGATTCGCCATCTTATGACCCCATAAATACAGACTCAGTACAATGGGGTAGAATTCCAAAATAGCAACGTTACGGTGGCGCCAGTGATCGGGCCAGAAACCGTGGCAGAATTCCTTGCCAAAAATTGCACCAAAACCGATGCCACCCGCGGCGTCCGTGAACAATTAATTAAGTTTAGCGGAATATTGCCATCTGTCTTCAAGAAAGAATGATCGGCCATTAAATGCTGACAGGAAAGATAACCAAACATTTAAATCCTCTTTAGCCTCGCCATTAAGTTTTATTAGGTGATGAGAGAAACGGACGCCGTGGGTGAGATCGATCAGTCGACGCAAAAATGCCCTTCTTGGGGTGACGACGCTGCACGCAAAATTTAACAGGCCAAACTAGGGACTGAATTTCGCGCAAAGTAACTTTTTTGTGCCTCAAAAATTTGCTGATAAGCTCCACGCCAAGTTTTTCAAATTTTTTAAAAAAATAGTTTTGAAAAATGTTTTAAAAAGTTTTAAAAGAGTTTTGAAAAGCAAGAAAAGTTTAAAAAGTTAGATTTTTAAAAAATTTAAAAAAATTTAAAAAGTTAAAAAAATTAGGGTTAGGGGTTAGTGGTTAAGGGTTAGGGGTTAGTGGTTAGGGTAGGGGTTGGGGTTAGGCTAGGGTTAGTGTTAGGTGCCGCGAATTTATTATTATGATAAATTCAAAATTTGCCGCGAATTTATCATAATGATAAATTCGGTCGTGTTTAAGAATTTACTCATATAGTAAATTCATAGGTGGAGCTCATGCTGAAATATTTTTTATTTGGAATAGGTTTACTTCAATATTTAAGTTCCGTGTTTAAGAATTCAAATAGAAAACATACGAATCTTTTCATTTCATGGGAATATCCTGAATCTGCAATCAGGGCTTCAATTTTTGAATTGTAGAATAATTAGATGCACTATCTAGTGAATATAAGATATCTATGATTATTATATACACAAGGTCCGGATATGAGGCATATTGCAATCTGATTGGTTCTCTACTATAGCAGGATATTAACTCATATCCTGCTGGTTGAGAAAAACAAAATGGCGGCTCAAACTGAATTTCCGACATCTTGCGAACGAGAAAACGGCAAGTTGTTCGCTTTTTATAGCCTTTACAGGATTAAAAACACAACAAAAAAATTCCCACAAATTGTTTACAGGTTAGAAAATGAATTTTTAAAATTTAAAATGGTTAAAAATACACATTTTTGAAAAAAATACTCGGCCAAAAGAGCGAAGACAAAACATAAACAAAATAAAAAAATATTGAAAATATCCGAAAACCAAAGTATGTGAATTCAGACCTTGTGTATATATAATATTTAGAACAGTTATTCCACTCACTCTCGTCGAATATGAGCGATAGCCGATTCGGCGCTACGCGCCTCATCGGCTATCAGCTCATATTCGACTCGAGTTCGTAGAATAACTGTTAATTATTCAATTTGATGTATTAGTAATACCAGCTTGCATAAAAGTTAAAGATGGCGTAAAAAATTCGCAGATATATGAATGAAATCTAAAACACAAAGCAAGTACGTATTGTATGGAATTTTAATACTGAAATATTACCCAAACATAAAAAAAAATTAAAAAATTACTTTAAAAAAAAACCTGGTTTGTTTTCGACAAAATTTGTGTTTATACATGCCTTTCACACTTTTTTTCACGGTTGACAGCCACGAATTCGTGAAACTTCATGTTTGTTTCTATTTAAAAGCGAAATACATTGCAAAAATATATTGTAAAACAGCGAAATACATCTTTGCAAAATGAAAAACATTCTTACTTGTGTCGAAAGTAAGAAATGAAATGAACAATGCCATATTTGTTGAAAGTTTGTTGCAGTGGGTATTTCACACTTTTTTGTGCTTCACACACTGTGTATCTTTGAATATTTAATCAGCAACTAATTTTAGGCAAGGATATATTTACTAGCTCATTACTCGATATTTCCAGATACACAACACGCAATATATCAATCTTGCAATCCATGCTTTAAACCCTGCAGTTGCATCCTTTCCTCGGCAGCATGCTTGGGAAGAGAGGAAAGAATGGAGCTAGTACTGTAATATCATTATTTAGCCCCTCTCTCTTTTAAGGCCCTCTCCAATAAGCCCCCCCCCCCTCTTTTTGGATAAAAAAACAAATATCAAAAATGATTTTCACGGGCATGGGGCTACGGGTGCTTCTTCTTGGCCAATTTTAGCGAGTGGTACGCGCGGGCAAGTGAAAACCCGATATTTTAAAAAATCAAAATAAATCTTTCTGCTTGTCGTATTCAAACGAAACTTTCTACATAGAAGCACTTGAATATACGAGGAGTGTTTCACTGCTATTGACTTGGGAGAATGCTGAAGAGTATAGAAGATATTCAAGTTTTTCTCGATATGAAATACAAAATGTTTGGCCCAGCAGTGAATAAATATTCGATTGTTTTGAGATATTTTTAATTTTCTCCTCCCCAAAGTCGGAATATGTAATATGACCGGATGACAATAAGTTAACTTAACGTTAAATGGGCGCGGCACTATAGAACATATGGATATCAGGCAGCCGGTTTTTCAAGCCGGCCCTTTTATCCGCCCGCGCAGTTCTCCTGCTCTAATTATCCCGCCTGCAAACCTGCCCCAAAACCGTTTGCTACGCAGGCTAAAGTTATGCAGGAATTTTCGTGAAAACTCGTCACACAAAATATAAACAACAGCAGGAGACAGAAACATCAAATAGCATTTCCAAATATTAATTCCTAGTTCTCAAATTTCGGAGCGGAAAATACAATCATCCAGGTATGTTTCAAAATTGCCAAAGTAATTAGTACGTAATTCATTTTAAACTTGTTATTGTTCGTTATTACACTATATAAAAATTGTTATATTCATGCAGTTTCGATAATGAAAGTACCCCCTGTTTCCACATAGTTCCAAAATTTTATGGCGTAGATGGAACTCTGCAGAGCAGCGAATTTTGGAGGCAATTCATTTTCAATTCATTGTGAAAACATGGCTTGCCTATGTACGATAAATTACTTATAAAATGTTTGTATATATACGCTGAAACACAAACAACTTATTAGGCATTATTATTGTGAAACAACCCACTGGGCCAGATAAATGCGCTCGATTCATACGGTCATTTCTACGAGTTCAGAAGAACTTTAGAGAACAAATGGAAGAAATTGAATTTATTTGAACTTTGTCAATGATTTTTGTGCTTGCTCTAAATCCTCTACAGCAAAGTTATCTTCATAATATTAGTCGAGAACATCGTTGTAAGGATCGCTTAATTAATTATTGACGCATTGTTTTACCCTGCACCCACGCAGATCATGCAGTAGAATGACACATAGCAAGAAAAATAAACACTTATTATATCGTCGTCATCTCATACCGCCAAATCCTAAACACTGCAGGCATATTATTATTTTGACGAGACAAAGTTATTTCATTTTTTATATAATAATGGATTGTTTTGCATCTTCGTATAGAATGAATAAATATGTTATAAAAAATATGTTAATAAAAAAATGTAAATATGTTATACCATGCAGAAAAAATTCAGAGTATGCTAGAATACATTGAAGTGGATATTCAATGTTTTCTTCTTGTAATTGACAAAAGCAAAATGTTCTTATTAGAGACCTTAAGATTGGCGTTTACGGCAAACGTCAAACCGCTAACAAAGTTTTTGATTTTACAACTCTAGTATAACAGCTTTTACACCAGTTTTGAAATACATTAAACATGTACAATTATTAAATTTGTGGTATTTAGCAACAATTTAATTTAGGAAAGTAAATTAACCACTAGTCATTTATTCACCAAAGCAGTAAATTAAGATTTTGCATTTGAAGTTGACGTTTGGCGTCTAAATTTCATACTTGAACTGCTACGAGGGCTTGTAGTCGTTAAAGCATGAAATTTATACGCCAAACGTAAACTTCAAATGCAAAATCTTAATTTACAGCTTTTGTGAACATACATGAATAGTGGTTAATTTGATTTGTTAAAGTGCACCGGCCTAACCTCAGGACTTTAGCTGGCTCATTTTGTTTCCGAGATATTTCAGTTTGTTTGGTATGCAATTATCCAGAATTTAGCCTACTTCACATGTTCATAATGATTTAAAGTAAAAGCTTGTGTATAGGCCTATTTATCAGTCGAGTTCAAGTTAATTCTTCAAAATGAAGTTTGGAGTAGGAGGATTACTTACTCATGTAAAATATACGAGTAGTGGGAGGATTACATACTCATGTATTTATTTTCGGATATTTAACTGTAAATTATTATATTCTTTGATGCAGTCATTATTCAAAGCTGAACAACACAGCGTGCAAACGAAAATCTTCAAAATAACTGCTACAATATCATTTCAAAGTTTCTTACGAATGAGGTGTTCAAATAATTGAGGTTAGGTGCACTTTATTAGACTTTGGTCTTTTTGTACACACTCCGCCCTACGCGCTCGCTCTGAGCAAAATATTATATTTCTCTGTGCAGATCGATCTCGCGTTCGGTTAAATATATATTATTTACCGGCAGGGAGGTCCGGATAGAAAAATATTTTGTCGAGGCCTATCTGTTTATCTTTGAGACCGAGACAAAATGTTTTTCCATCCGGACCGACCTAAACGGTAAATAGCGTATTTATTTTTTTGTCGAAGACTCAGACTATAGATTGCGCATATAGAAAACAAAACAATAAAAAAATTTGATATTTAATTATTTTACTTTAGAAAACAAACAATTCAATTAAAATGCAGTACAATTATTTTATCCATCATTAAAATTATTTCAAAATTACATATTCATATTTTTCAGTTTTAAAACAAACATACAAAATTTTTTTGCTTTGCTTTAGCCATTACGTATAGGATTCCAGACCGTGGTTAGATATCGTGAAATTCCGCCCGCTGCTGCAGCCAATCAGATTGCATGCAAGAAACGCTAGGATTGCGCCCGCTGCTGATTTACAAAAAATAATAATAAGTTCCCAGCGGGCAAAATGACGTTTATCCAACGTTGAATCAACGTTGGAAATGATCTTCCAGACGTTGGATAGACGTTGAAAAAGGGTTGACTATGCAAATTGGATCGACGTTACTGTTTCGACGTTGAAACAACGTTGAAATTAGGTTGCCAATCTCGTCAACCATAATTCAACGATGAGTCCACGTTAAAACAACGTTGAGATTGGTTCACAATTCGACGTCGTACATTTAACCATGAATGAACGTTAATTCAACGTCTGTTCGCTGCTGTTGAACCAATGTTTGTAAAACAACGTCAGAGCAACGTAGATATTAGGTTGTCGACGTCGCAACCTCTTTTCTACCAAATTTCAACGTTGAAACAACGTCGTGTGCTGGTGGGTTATTGTTCTAAGTATCACAAAAGTAGCACGTACAGTTTTCCATAACTGTGTGCGTACAGATTTTGGCTGGTATACTGTACCAGGTCTGTTGGCTATTTCAGCTTTCTGCTTTCACGTAGTAGTGCCTTTGATGCGTATAGTTTAATTTATAATGGTAATTGAACTTCGTTTCATGCAATTTGGACTGAAATCAAACGCGTGATTACAAAATCGCACGACCGCGAAACGGGAGTGCGATTTGTAATCACAAGTTTGATTTCAGTCCAAAATTGCATGACACGAAGTTCAATTTCCATTTTATTATATTCATATTGAAATCTTTAAATACTTTTGTAAACCGGAAACGTTTTTGTTTTGCAAAAGACACGCCTTCGGTAACTCCCTTAGTACGGTAGCATAGCAACAACAAGGGAACAAGGTGAACTTAAATTGCATAAATATACGTTCAAAATTGCTGCAAAAATGTTAAAGAAATGAAAACATTTATAGAGAATAAGAGACAACACAAGTAAGTTTAAAGATATTGTAGGTTTGAAAGAGTTTATTGCAGTTTTGTGCATTTATTAAAATAATAAAATTTTTAAACATGATAGGCGAATTTACTGTACCAATTTGTTTTCCCTGAGTCTGACCTGACGCTTTAAATTTGCTTTTGTTGGCATTTTTCCTGTTACTATTTGTGCAATTTCAAAAAGATTTTAAATTCTTTGCAATTTCTCGATGTTTTACTGTAGCTATCCATATTTTTTTAAGAATAATAAAAATATTTAAAATCATAACATACAGTATGTAATTTTTTTGTTTCTGCTCATTTGCCATATCACATTTTTCTTAAGTTTGATTGGCTGTTTGAAACCTATGATTAAATATGATTGGTTGGCTGAAGTCAGCACTCTAATGTGATTGGTTGACTCCTGCTAGGAGTGCGATTCGTGCTAAAATCGCACTCCTGTCAACCAATCAGATTGCCGGAAACACAATTGATTCCGAAATGAATATATAATAAAGTTGGTTATTTAACCATAATTTATTTTTATAAAGCTGGAGAATATTATATCCATTAGCGTAGCCAGCCCGACGATTCAGTCCACAATCAATTTCTAAAGAAATGAATAATGATGAGTTGAAATTTGCACAGCGGAACCAAGTGGTTGGGCTGGCTACGCCACTGTTAATATCATCAGATCATTAAATGCTATGTAGATAAAAATGCCACCATTCCATTCAACATAAAAAATGTCTACCAATCCCCAACGATAGTTTTAGTCAATGTCAACATTGTAGCGACTTATTAGCTTTGAAAATAAAGTGAGATCGTATAATATCCAAATTACGCAATTGACTGAACAAAAACAGACTAGCGATACCTTTCGCCGAACATAACTTCGACCCCTTGAGATGTGTTTTCCACTAAAATTATCATGGAATTTCCATTTCTGATCTGATTGTGAGTTACTTCTGACCGGAAATACAAATTCAAAACGTCAAAACAATGCGACCTTTTGTATCGTATGACTCTGGAAATGCAAGCAATCGATTATCCCCTTCTGCTAAAAGTGGATCTATGCGCGTGATTTTGATGTCATCGCGGCTGGAGCAGCTCCTTCTTGGCCAAGTATAGTGCGTGGCACTCGCGTGGGAGTAAAACCCGATATTTTGAAAATATCGAACGAAACTCGTGGTATTCGAACGAAACTTTCTACAGGAAAGTGCGTGAATACAAGCAGTACTTTACTCATATAGATTTCGGAAAATGATGAAAAGTTTAGAAAATATTCAACTTTTTCTTGATATAAGATACAGAATATTTGGTAGCCTGTGTACAGACGTTACTCTCGACTTTGAGTTGGATGAAGATTCCTTGTTCTGGTCACGTGGATTTTATAGAACACTTGAAATTATAGTACACTTGGCTAATGGGGGGAGGGGGGGGGGCAGACTATTATAAATCTGATCCAGAAAATTTAGAAACCTTTGGCCTAAAACTCCCATGCAATTTGTTTTTGGTCCATGTTCCATCCAGGCTTTCCAACGCGGTGTTCAGATTATCCCGAGTACTTCAAACCGGTAATGTTTAGCCTGCAGGTATACACTATAATATGACCATGCGACCTATAAATAAAGCAATTTGATTGACTTACTGCGAATAATTATTGATGAGATGTGCTGTAAATGTTTCCTCATTGCAAGTATTTTGTTCATAAAAATTTGGAACAAAAAACTCTGCCTGAAAATAATTATAGCAGTAATATTTAAGTATTTTTTTGTAGCTAAACAACTGGAGCGCAGATGTCGTGTATTGTTAGTAGTATCGGTAAGCTGTAAGTTGGTCAATATGTCTTCGCCAGAAGATAAGGAGAGAACTGCCAGGCCAGTTAGCGTCTCCAACTTTGCCGATTTTTTCAACAAATTGTTAACAGGAAGTGAAGAAAATAAATGTCAAGCAACCACAACAGACAAGCAAACAACTTTAGAGGTAAAGCTATTAATTTGTTGTGAATTTGGAACTTTTATAGGCTTACAAACTTTTCATTTGGCGCTTATTAATATGTTTCATGGCGGGCTTTGTGCAATAAAATATACCCTGTATATATATATATATATATATATATATATATATATATATATATATATATATATATATATATATATATATATATATATATATATATATATATAGCCTATTTATTGCTTTTATTTGTAACTTTATTCCCACTGTGTTTGTTTTAGTTCTCTTAGCTTCCTTTATATTTTTTGTTTTATATTATATTCTGTAATGTGATTTACATATTTTGTTTACACTTTGTTATGATTAAATCAATCTAATTGGTTTATTTTTTCTCAAGTGTTGCTTTCATATATACTTTTAGTATAAAAGCCCGTGCTATCCTTTCTACTAACTCTTGACGAAGGGCCCTCGCTCGTAACGTCGAGTTTCTGCTTGTTTATTTCAGGTAGTAATATAATTACTCAGCACAGCCTTCCCATTCCTTTCAATCAAAATATTTCAAGAATCAAACAGTATATGAAAAATCTGTAATACGATCTTATAGATAATTTAAACGTTCTTTGCAAGGAGACAATATAATTGTTTGGTGCCATTGTCGTTTAAATACGAAAAAAGAGGGAAACGTTTTGTAAAAGAGCTGGCATTTAACGATAGGCTTACTATTTAAGAAATAGAAAACATTTTTCGTGATTCTATAGAGTTATAGAAACACGCGTGGACGTTTGGGAGAAACGAGAAATTGCGTGGCAAAACGAGCACAAAGTGCGAGCGTTTCCACGCAATTTCGAGTTTCTCCCAAACTTCCACAAGTGTCTCTATAAACTTTATAGGAACACGGAAAAATGTTTTCTATTTCCTTTATTAAATATAGCTTATGAAACACAATAAAAAATATAAAGTTACTGATTTTAATTACATTCATGCATTCAAATATTAATTATATCTTAATATACGTTCGTGTAAAGAATAAAAAGCATAGCCAAGTAAACAAATATATCGCTGTCAAAACAAAAGACAGCACTTAACAGGCTTACTTTACTAAAGTATAAAATTCACTCAACAACGTACATGCTTGCAAGAAAGCACTGTTCTAAATAGTTAGTATACGTTTAAACATGATTAAAAACGATTAAAAACGATAGTAAACATGATTAAAAACGTCGCCAGGAAATATTTTTTTTAAAAAACAAAGTAAATTAAAATATCTTACCTTGGCATACAGTCAAACAGATACAACGTATGCTAGCTGAATTATACTTTGTGCTTTAGGTCTTTCCTTTCTAAGTTAGCAAAGCGTTGCTTTTTTTTGTGGCGGTTCGTCAGCGTTTTCGGACTTTTCCAAACTTTTTTTTAATTTTAAATGTTGTTTGTATTTTGTTTAAACTCCTGAGCAATCCACGCAACACGCGTGAAAATTCCTCGTGTTTCTATCAAGTTATAGAAACACGTGCTTTTTTTAGCTTTTGGCCAATCAGCGCCCGTGTTTTTAAAATGCTATTTTATAATATGTAGTATTACCGAGTAAATTCATTGAGAAATTCTGAAAAATAAAGTACAGGACAAAACAATACCACTGGTTTTTCACGCATCCCTGACATTACAAATAATTGACAATGATATTTTCAGCAAAGGAATACTCGAAACACTGAGTTGAAAGCTTAATAAAGGTTTCATGTCATGATCATGAGTGCAACACCTCAAAAAATAGGTACGCTGTAGCGTACATGGCGTCTACTGGATCAAAAACAAAGAATGCTTAGTGTGAATAAAATACACGGAATGACCAATTTTATTAGAATAGAAGATAAACTATAACATATCACACAAATATACACTTTAATTTATAGTATAGCTTCCATAGCAAATCTGGTGAGCCAATCAGACCTTAAATGCTAGTGTATCAATTTTACCATTTCCAAGATATTCATCTTTCGCAATATAGTTTGCAGTCAAATACGTTTATTGACAGTAGGCGATATCTCTTCTCGTAGATTTCTTCTCGTTTTTGTGTTCCGATGACACGATGGCTGGACGTAATGAAGTTTTGGATTCAATTTGAAAACAACGTTATACACTTGTGAAGAGTATCTTTCCAAGATAAACACTAGACATTCCATGTTGATACTTCCAATTTAACATTGTTTTCTAAACGTATATCAGATGCTTTTATGAATAATACTTTTTTGAATATTTTTTTCAAGTGACAGAGACCATGGAAAAGTTGCGTTATGTCAACCTTGATACATTAATTTTTAGTTTGTTGCACATGTCCGTACCACAGAGTCAATCGACGGTCCATTTTAATGGTCAAATCTGATACAGATTCAACTACAAAAATGTGTTAAATTCCTTATTTCCCCAGGAATGCTACGCAGTAAAGTGCACAACAGTGAACACAAAAAACTTTCACAAGTAAATAATATATCAGAAATTAATTCATAAAAATGTATTTGATGTTTTAAAATATATTATAGAAACTTAGCTTTATAAAAAAACAAAAAAGCTATTCCTGGCACAGTAGCACACATCTGTACCACACGTATAACAACAGTATAGTCAAAGGAATGAAAATTTTCACTTGTTGTTTTAGGGTATAAAATATAAATTCATGAAATACAATATAAAATCATCTCATTCCCTGTTCATCGAAAGCACTGTCAACGGACACAACCGTAGGCTACATGTACCTAGCGTCTTTGAACTTCGAAGATCAAGGTTTATATTAATACCAAACATAAAATCGGGAAAAACAATACTAATAATTTTAATGTATAAAACTAAAGCAAACAAAGTCAAAGGAATGAAAGGATGAAAAAGATAGAAAATTCGAGAGTTTTTTAAGGTGCGAGGAAGAGTCATTCATGTAAAAAAATAGCGAGGAAGAGTCATTCATGTCAACCACAATGCATTATGTTGTGCTTCCGAACATGCTTGGCGGCCATTTTAATGGCGGAATAAATCTTATCCCAGAGCCATTGTTGAGTGGCTCTGCATGGGTACAAGATTGTGGTGGAATAACATAATATATCACTACCGCAGGAGGCAAATTTGTATTGGGGGGGGGGGGGCTCTTATTAGTCAGGGGTGATTATTAGGACAATTTTCCACTCTCAAGCTTTACAGATTATCGCTTTTATCTTTACATTTTATGATCTCAATTTATATCAAATGTGGAGTCGAACAAGTTCAAACGTATAAAATATTAATAACCGCATTGCATGTGATCGAAGCTTTATAAATAAAATATATTCTCACCGACTTAATACACTCTGACGCTGAATACGCGCTAAGCAAAATACCGAATAGTCATTGTCAGTGAATGACTCAGAATGAGTGAAATACAATATATTAAAAGTACGTTATTATTTCTCTCGGCATCTCACCAATTGAATACACGAAACTGTATATATTCTCAAAAAAACTTGCTATATACTCCAAAAACTCAAAACAGCTTACCTTAATACTGGACAAACTTTCTTCAAAGCTCGAAATCAAACCATTTTAATATCGTAAACAGTTCCAAAACTTTCGTAGATGCAACCCACTCTAAACCTGTTGCCGACAGCATAATATGGCAACTACTGTTCCAGTAGACGCCAAAAACGAGTAAGGCACTTGAAAATGTGACTTAAAACAAATATCTTGCTCTAGGCTACAATTAATGTGCCTCAAAAACACTACCAGTTCAGTTTCTTATTTTAGTCATTTTTAGTTGCAGGAAGAAGTAATCGGCTTGACATTTGAAAAGCAGGTTGGCAGAACACAAGATTTTAAAATCTATTATGGGAGAAACAGTCGTGGTGTAAGTTCTAAAACGTATCCGAAAATCATGCGCGCGTGAGGGTTGTTGTTCATACCCACTTGTCAGGGAACAGGACAACTTGGATAAAACATGAACGGGTTTCTCCAAGACGATTAAGGGAAAAAGGAGTTCTGTCGAGAGCAATTTGATATCTTTGAAAAACTCACGACAATAGAAACTGTCCTATTAATTACTATTTATAGTAATACTGCACAAGAAACGTGGCCCACATTACAAGCGTGGCGCATCTGAATATTGCAAAGATTACAATACTTGCGGGGATCCTGTAACCCTGCCATGCAGTATTGATATCTTTTTAATTGTTAAGCAAAACTAAAAGAACATGGTCAAAATGCCACAAGTAATGTTCTGCATATAATTATGTTTAGAATTATGTATACAATCATGTGCAAAGTGCAGGGACATGCCGAGCGATATTTGGTTGGGCGGTGAATTAGAAAAAATAGGGCCACCTTTTCGGTTGACCTTTTAAAAAACAATTTTCCCGAAAGCAAAAATTTTTCAAAAATTGTTAGCGACGGGTCGGAGGGGAAGGGATGTATATATATTTTTTTCGAAAATAAAACCTCTAAAAAAATTTCCAAAAATTATTTTGCGGTAATGGGGAGTTAAAATTACTTTTTCACACCTTTTTCCAACTCAACTTTTCTGAGTATTCCTTAATATTTAACACAATCCGCAATTCCAGCATTCCAGTCCCTCTCTGAAACATGCTCATATACATGTAGCGCCTATACGTACAAGCAAATGCATTTTCTTCACAGAAGACAGGTTTGTTCATTCGAGATGTTCAGCCACAGAGTGCTCTTGCTGGTGCAATGAAGCCCGAAGATCAACTTTTAAAGGTACTGTATGTCGTAGTTTCTTTGTAAATTACTACATTGTTTTGAGGGGTTTTACAATTTTTACATGGTTTTGAACCTGATTAGTGATTACGTGTAACCAAAAGGGAAGCCAGACTAGAAAAAAATAATCAGTGTCAATGCGCTATCATTCATCAAGAAGTATCTATACACCTATTTGTCAAGAGCTAGATATGGAACACTAACACTAATATAATAGTCATGCTGACTCACGCACATTGTCTCAGTCACTAAATGTTGTTATGGTGACGGTCACAATATTTTTTAATCCGCAGCAACTGAGAGACAGTATCCCTCTGACAGCAAGGAGCAACTGTTCATGCATAAAATACATAATGTTATACATACAGCGCGTTTCAAAAATCTCGCAGAAGCAACGATGAAAACCAAAACTCCTTGCCGAAGTACGTGACCAGACTTAAGAGTCTGGTCACGTACCTGCCAGGTTTTGAGACCGACAAATATATCCGCTTGGAGAAGTAGTCTAATAGTCAGAATATAAACTTTGAACAGACTGATCAAAATACATACGCGATGTTTGAATTGAGTCGCCAAATGTTAAACGTATTGAGTTCTTGCTTTGTTTGCACATTGCCTTGTTTACATTTTGTTTACACTTTGCTTTGTTTGTACGGGAAAAAATGTGAGCTCCATACAATGAAATTTGCAATTGCACCACTAAATCCGTAGTATATCCATACTATTTCGATACTATTTACATAGTATGAAAATACACAATTATGGATAATTAAAATCCATTCTATTTCCAATAAAGGTTCGTTCAATTTCCATTCTATAACCGATCAAATTTTTCCAGTGTTGTGAATGATACAGTGTATACTACAGTATCACTCGGAAGTACGAACCCTACTCTACCCTCCCTATAGTTATGAATATCCACGTGGCTCTCAAAATCTGGGAGCCGCCTCACCAGCATTCACCAGGGTCTCTTCCTCCACATACAAAGTTTTATACTGTAGATCGAAGCTCGTCACATATTGACGCTCTTCACGTAATCAAAATTTAAAATATTTGAGTTTCACATTGCCAGATAAATGAGGAAGATATAAAAAATTCAGAATCCGGTTATGTTAACCACATCCTGGATAATTCATCTGGAACTATAAGACTAGAAGTCTTAAGGTAAAACTTTACTGACTGTGAAATACGAGTAACACCTTTTTTCTTCATTTATGCTCATGCATGACGTTGTAGATGTATGGCAGACAAACTCTCATTAATTATTCAGTCTGTTAAGTATAAGTAAACTTTCATGAATTGAGGGAAATGACTTTGTCAGACGAAAACAATATTTTCAATAGAGAAGTATTGTGTCCCAACGCGCCAAAACTCAACTGTTTTTCATCACAAATTTGTTTTTACACCACGATATTTTGTACACGCCATGTACAGTAATATTGAACACACCTTTTCTTTGCAACATTTTTTATTTTCAACTTTTTTATCCAACCAAAATCCACTCTCGTATTATATCGCGGGCTCGTTCTTTTCTCGCAAAAAAGTCGTAATAATGTGACAAAACTATCGTCGATTCAAGTTTTGTTGTTATTTTAGCGCAGTTTTTAATATTGTTCGAGTATTTTTCGATATAGTTTTAAGGTCTAGATGATGTTTTAATTTGTCTGATTTGCCAACCTAGGAAATAAATATATCTCGTTAGTGGGAATTTTTGAGTTCATGGGCGAGAAGTCTGTTATGTGTTTTATTAATCGTCCAAATATCAGAAAATTTTCTTAATTTTAAGTCCTTTAAATAGCTGCTGGAACTTTCATTTTTTAGCTTCAAATGCCTTTCACGCATGACTAATTCGTGCATTTACCTAATTTGCATATTGGTATTGTAAAATGTAAAATAATTAATAAAACATGTATAGTCTATGACTTCTATATGAGTTTGTATGCGTTTCATTTAGCACAGGTAATCTCAACTGTTTTAGGGTAAAAAGACCATGGTGGTCAACATGGCAAATGTGCCAAAACCTGAATCTGGGATGAAAGTCCTGAAAATGACCCCGCCATAGAACGGAAGTGTCGACATAGCTCTAACTTCCGAAAAGGAAAAGCTGTAGCCTTTCTGAAGTGCTTATAGTGTTTAGAAGGGATGGTTTTAAGGGTGGTCATTGCAAGGAAAAATTTGTCTAAGTATAGTGTTTTACAAGAAAATGACCATGCACAACACCAGGTAAATTGCTAATTATGCATAAAATAACTAATATGCCTGGCAGAAATTAAATTTTCTTATTTCCTGAAAAAAATTATCATGGCGTGAAAAACTATGCTTAATTTAATTAAATAATTATTGTTGATTTCATAAGGATTGTCATTGTTTACTTCAAATATAATACATTTCATTTCACTTACCCCCCACCAAAACACGATTTCAGCCATATTTTACCGTCTTGTTTGCTTTTTATCTCCGAATCTGGTAATCCAGTTGATGTACTTTTACTTAATCATAAATGGCTGAAGATCAGATTTCAGAGAAGATTTTATCAAGATTTGAAACAGTGCAGTGTATTTTATCTTCGATATTGTGTCCTTCGATATTTCGTAAAATATTGCGCCATTGCAATGGCTCGCCGCTACTCTGCCCGATAAATGCCACTTTTTCGTTTTCCTATGTATTTAGATTACAGTATAATTGGAAATTATTGTAGAATAGTCACAATCAAAAAATTGAAAACACTAGTTGCACTTGAAAGGAGTAAACCTCCCATAACACTTGTTGAGTAACAATTAATCCAAAAGAAGTCATTTAAAAGTCACGCGCAAGTTCGCGAAAACTCCTCGTGGGCTACACAGCAGGGGGTGAATGTTTTCACGAAACGTTTGTTCGCCACCACAGCAACCCATCTAAATACACTATATTTGTTGTATTTTTATGATTGATGATAAAAACCATAAATATTTGCGTATTTTTATCATCAATCACAAAAATACAATAAATATATAGTGTATCTATTTATACTATGTACTTATATTAGTCGTTTTCTCCTTTCAAGTGCAACTAATGTTTTCAATTTTTCGATTGGGACTACTCTACAATGAATTACTCGTGGATACTGTAATCTAAATACATAGGAAGACGAAGAAGGGGCATTTATCGGCCAGAAAAGCGGCGAGCCATTTCAATGGCGCAATATCGAATATAAAATACACTGCACTGTTTCAAAACTTGATGAAACCTTCTTTGAAACTAATCTTGTTCAGCCATTTATTATTATGCAATAGTACAAGAACTGCATGATATTTGCCAGATTCGGCCATAAAAAGCAAACAAGACGGCAAAATATGGCTGAAATCGTGTTTTTGTGGGGGGTAAGTGAGATAAAGTGTATTATATTTGAAAACAATGACAATCCTTATGACAACAACAATAATTATATTAAATTAAGCATAGTGTTTCACCCCATATTTTTTAGGAAATAAGAAAATCTAATTTCTGCCAGGCATATTAGTTATTAAATGCATAATTAGCAATTTATCTGGGGTGGTGCATGGTCATTTTCTTGTAAAACACTATACTTAGACAAATTTTTCCTTCCGATGACCACTCCTAAAACCAACCCTTCTAACCATTATAAGCACTTTAGAAAGGCTATAGCTTTTCTTTTTTGGAAGTTAGAGCTATGTCGACACTGCCGTATCAGGGCGGGGTATTTGCAGGACTTTCGTCCCGGATTCAGGTTTTGGCACATATGCCATGTTGACAGCCATGGTCATTCTACCATTAAACAGTTGAGATTACCTGTGCTAAATGAAACGCATACAAACTCATATGCAGGTCCGAGACTAGTACTTAAAGTGCCCCTGGCAGCAAAAATTTTTATTGGCGATATTAAATCTAGGTATGATTTCTAGCGTATCCGTGAAAAAATTTTTCAATTTGGTCAAATCGTTCCATTTTTATGGCGGTTTAAAGTTGGCAAAAATGCCCTTTATGATGGATCTTGTCCGTCATCAGAAGAGCCTGGAACGAGCTATTTTTGTGACGTCACCCAAGGTACTCGTCAAAATAAGGCTTTCGTTCCATATGCAAATCTATAATAATAGTGTTGGCCATATACATACAGTGCGCTCATTTTCGGAAAGTAAAAAAGATGGTTAATAGCTGTGTAGCTGCCAATTGCACGAATAAATCGTGTCTAAGTTCGGGTATAAGTCTCCATACGATACCTTACTACAACGACGATCGACCTGAAGCTAAGAGAAGAAGAAAAATATGGGTTGACTTCATAAAGGCAAAACGTGTCTTCGTGTCTTCGAAAGCTTCGACTCTTTGTTCAGCGCACTTTAAGCCTGAAGATTACGAGCGAAGATTCTCAATTTTACCTGGGCAAACGAAACCAAACTACCCCAAATTAAGAAGCGACGAACTTGGTATTTGTGTGTATCCAAGTATACATGCTGAGGCGAGGGAAACATCTGGAGAACCAGTCGTGCAAAGTCCTAGAGATAGACGGATGGTGAGTCTGTTTATAACAAGCTTTTGTTTTGAATGTTGAGAAAAGATCCATGCATTTTACCGAACTGTTTCAATTATTAATAACATTTCATAGCCTGATATTGTAGTTGCTGTACTTTTTACTAATTTCTAAATCTTTTCATAAAAGTTGATAAAAGCTAATTTGCAAGGTGAAAGAAGCACGTGTGATGTTAATGAAAAATCATTGTCTTGTATTTTTTAAAAAGGGTCATTGTAGGTTTTATTTTCTCACTGAAACGACTTGCCGACTTCTAAACATCTTACTAGATACTGATACTCAAAGCAAGAAAAGAAAACGCCAACTGGAAAAGCTTGATGAGAGTCAACTCGAGGAAAGTCACATTGATGAGCCAGCAAATGTAAAGTTTCCTACATAAAGTTTTACATCTATAATATAATACTTGCACTCCAGCTGAATCTCCCTTTATGATATTCATGCTACAAAATCATTGTTTTTTTATTATTTTCTTAGTTTGTCATTGCCAATACAGAAATGGAATCTCTTCGAGAAACCAATAGAAGGCTAAAAAACAAAATTATTTCCTTGAAAACATCTGCAAAAGGAAATAAATCCAAAATGAAGCTAATGAGACGCAGGGGTAAGACTCATAATTTCTGCAATTTATTGTTAACCGCAGGGACGTCGCGAAGCCATCAACATGGGGGGGGGGGTGTTCCTAGGATTTTGACCAAGTCGTACAAATTTTGCCCAAAAATGTTGTCCGGGGGGGGTCAAAAAAAATTTTCCGCGCTAACATAAGCGTATTCAAAACTTTTCAACTAAGATAAGCAAGGCTTCCAATTTTTTCACTGCAAACCAAGAGCTTTAATATTGTTAAGATTGCAAACCATTTCATAACTTTGGGCATCTTTTATCCTGAACTTTGACCTAATTTTTCCAAGTTTTACCTTAAATTTTAAGCAAATATCAGTTCCGTTTCGACCAACTTTGGGCAAATATCAGTTCCATTTTGACCAACTTTGACCAACGTTTGAATTATTGGGGGGGGGTGTTACCCCCCCACACACACACCTATAGCGACATCCCTGGTTAAGCGTGTTACATAAAGAAGCAATGCTTTATTTTTATGCATATATTATTTAGTACTCCAGCTTGAACAACGCTTAGAGGAACAGTCGGTGGAGAAGAGTGCTGAAGAATCTGAAATGGAAGGTGGCAATATTGAGAGTGAGGATGAAGCATCAGAGGAGGAAAACGAGTTCTATGAACATGATCCTGCCTATGAGGTAGATGATGTCGACATGGAAGAAGATGATGAAGATTTCATAGAAGAAGATATAGGGTGAGTAATTTAATAACTTGGCACCGCCTTTTGCAATAACAAGCATCACAACTACCTATTGTGTATTATTATAATGTTGCACTTTTGCTTGTTTCAGGTTGTTGCAACACAATGGAAATCTACGGTCAGAACCAAAGCACATTGTGTTTCTGTCACAGCTTCTGCTACTTTTCAACTTTTGCCATTCATGCAAAGCTGATAATCCATTGGTGGAAGCAAAAGCTGTTGGAACTGCAGCAGTTGTAACCTCAACATGCCACAACCCAAATTGCCCACAGAAAACCACAACATGGTATAGCCAGCCACTAACACCTGGGCGTACAAAAGCACGTGCTGGAAACTTTCTTTTATGTATGGCAGTCTTGCTTGGTGGTGGCTCTTTTACTAAAATACGCCAAATATTTGCACATATGGGTCTTGGATGTGTCTCCCATACAACATACTTCCGTTATCAGAAGGTAAGAAAGAGCATTTTCTTATAAACGAACTACGAAGTATTGTTTGCAGTGCTTCTAAACTTATGTATATCTAAAGGAAATGAAACTTAATTCTCCTTAAAATAAGCATGCATTGGGCCATTCCATTTAATATAGGCACCCCCCCCCTATTGAGGGGTCCCTTCATAATCCACTTAGGGTATAAAAATTTTAGAACCCCCTTGGATGTGATTTTTGGAAGTTACCCCATGGATATCTAACACAATATCATTTTTAGTAATTTACCCCCTTGGATATCACTAAAACACCTAATTTTTGCTATTTTTGGACAATTTCCTAAGCTACCCTCTAGGAAAATTTAAGATAAAAACACCCTCCCCCCATAGGATTTCCAGACCCCTCAATAGGGGGGGGGGATGGTGCCTACATTAAATGGAATGGCCCATTGGTTGATACAATATATTTGAACTATATAATTAATAAATTATGTTGTACTATAGACTGTGCTATTCCCCACCATCTTCCTTCACTGGAAGAAGTACCAGTCATTGTTGTTGGAGAAAGCCAAGAAACTAAGAAATGGTGTTGTTCTGGCAGGGGATGGTCGGCATGACAGCATGGGTCATTCTGCCAAGTTTTGTGCATATACAATTTTTTGTTGTACTCTTGCACAAATTATTCATTTTAATCTTGTGCAGGTAGGAATACTGTAAATAATACTATAGCTTCACTTACTAGTTACTAGCTCTTGATTATTCAATGACACTAACAACTGTTATTGCAACATTGTTTTTCTTCCTTTTAGAGAAATCAGGCAGGAAGTAGTCCAGCAATGGAGTTTATGTCTTTTAAGTTATCCATGGACTACCTTATCAACTATGGCCTCACCATTACTACCTTCATATCAGACAGGCATACTTCAATTGCAAAGTATATGCGGACAGTTTTGAAACAAATTATCCACTATTTCGATGTGTGGCACTTGAAGAAAAGTGAGAATATTTCCAATTTTTTAAATAATATAATTCATGCTAATGTCCAGACTGCTTAGGAGTTAGGATGAGAACCCACTGAGCTATAAACATCACTGAATTACTGATGAGTTAGTTTATGATAATTAAATTAAGCCTTCGGGCCCTTCACTATTTTCCTTCAATTCTTGTTGACATTGTTTTCTGTTTGAAAATTTTATTGCTTGCAGAAATAAGAAAGGTGCTTTTCAAAATTGCGAAAGAGAAAGACTGTGAGGCACTGAATGAGTGGATAAAGCCATGTGAAAACCACCTGCACTGGAGTGCTTCTTCAACTTATGATGGCAATGGTTTGGTAATCTGGGCAAAATTCAAATCCTTTCTACAGCACATTGTCAACATCCATTCAGGGCACAGTGATCCACTGTTTGACAAGTGTGCTCATGGAAGCAACATTCCTGCTAGAAAGTGGTTGACCATTGGTATGTAAAACATTTGGCCTTAAATGTTTATGATGGCATATAGTTTACAGTATGAATTTTACAACTACCCAGTTTCTTGTTGCAGCATGTTCGGCTCATCAGAATATATTCACAATATGGTGCATACATGAACAGGAAAATGTTTTATTTATATTCCTTTCCTATAGATTCACCCCTCCATAACAAAGTGTGTGCTGCACTTACAAACAAAAGGCTTATGAATGGCATCAAGAAAGCTTCTCCATTAGCACAAACCAGCTGTCTAGAGGGCTTTCATAGTGTTCTCAATCACTTTGCACCCAAGATGATTGCGTACTCTTATGTTGGACAATACTGCAGGTTAGAATCTCTTCTAATTTAAATGTTTATTACTTTGATTGGTGAAGAACAGTCTATTAGCACATTATGAGAGCAATTGGAGTTAATATATATATATATATTACATAATTAGGCATATTCTAGCTGTAATACACTTTAACAGCAACCTGCAGAGAGAGAAAAAAACCAATCCCGATAAATCTGAAAGAATAAAGGTCAGCTACCCCAAATTCAAGAATGGAGAGGCCACAATTCGAAGTGTTAGGGTTGCTCAGAACTTTGGTAAGTTTCTGTTTATCTGCAAATGGTAATAGTCGGCCGGCCAAGGTAGCAAAAAGTGCCTTCAAAGAGAGTTGATGGCAACTTTATGTTAGAAGTTGGTAACAGGCATTTTCTTATAGTTTAAGCCTTGGTGAACAAGACTATATGTGTTACCACTTCTGATTTTTGCTTTATAGCCGAAAATTTGAGAATTTTTAAATTTTGCCTATTAGATTACTATGATGGCAAAAAATTTAAAATCTCATGTTCTCTCATACCAAGGCTTAAACTATAAGAAAATACCTGTTACCAACTTCTAACATAAAGTTGCCATCAAGTTGTACAAAATCACGTCATGGCCAGCCGTCTATAATGCTGTCTTATATTTAACTATTTACAATATACTTTGTTAACTTTTTTTATAGATTATGTACAAGAAATATACGAGACTTTCTTGTCAGCGACTGAAAAGGACCTGAAAAGCAAGGAAGCTGAACTGAAGCAAATGTGCCCCCCTGCTATGAACACAATGCTAAATAAGCAAACAAAGGAGGAGGCAGTGAGGAAAAGAAATGACAGGAGAGAAATGACCATTGAAGATGTTCCACCCAGTATTCCTGGTTTGTAATACTTTGTAAAATCTGTTGTTTTTTCATGTTTGGTTAAATCACTCCCATTTTTGTTTTTTACTCCATGACAGAGACAAATTTATTTGTCAGAAATTAGACTAAAAAGTTTGTTATATCAACTTTGTATAGTATTGCAACATCTGGAACAACTTAGGCGACAAAAGGAGGCAAAGAAAAATAATGAAGGTCCAAAACGCCATTGTCGAACATGTGGACATCCAATGAAGGGGCATACTAAAGATATAGATTGTCCAAAAAACAGAACTTAGGCCTAGGTATCATGAAAGAAAAGCTTGCTTCAAGCAAAACAAAAAAGCTCTTTTAAGAGCTGCCACTTAATAAAAGAATATAACGATACCTCGATAATACCATGATCATTGCACAGTTCATAAAAAATGGCAAATGTTCAGTATGTCATATTTTATTCATTATACTTTATATATACCAAATATTTCAAAGCTATAGCTGTTCATTCCCACGTAATCCCTGCAGAATAAAGAAACTAGTCTGAGTCGTCAGAATATCCAGTAAACTGTCCTTCCTTTTCCATGATAGGAAATGTATTTCTTATTGCAATGTAGGCACATGCAGGTAGTGGGATTCTTCTGTTGCCAAGAAGTCCATATATTAGTCTTGTGAACTCTCTATATGAGATACTGCGTAGAAAGCTAAAACAAAATAAATGGAAGTTCATGATTTGTTACCATGTGAACCAGGCTAAGAAGTTGCCTGCATTTACAAAAGTATAAATTGATATTTTCTATCTTTGTATTTAGCAAATCATTATCTACCTATACATATAGTGGAGGTGTGCATCGGATTGGACGCTTATAATCCGACAATTGCCTATGTTTAAAATCTGATCCGATCCGAAATTGTCTAATCCGAATCCGATCCGAGTTTCGATCCGATCCGAAGAATTCTTTAATAAAATAAATTTCTCATTCAAGTTGAAATATTTAACCAAATAAATATAAAAGCAAGAAATACATGTCAAGAAGCTGACAAAGTGACGTCCAATTGAAGTATCAAACGAATAATGCATTAGATAATTAATTCATTTTATTTCGGATATCGAAGTCCGATCCGACTACGAAACAACTTTATCGATCCGAAATGAATATTTTGGTTCCGAAATCCGAACGGATCGGATTCGGATCGGATTTGCGACCTCTAATATATAGTAATGTATTGAGAGGCTAATTTTAATGCACCTATCACTGTTTTCCCCCTGGGGGGGGGGGGGGTGCAGGCGACCTAGGGGACTTTGACCACACTATGAAGCCCCAGTGAGGGGAATTTGACCTATGCATCAACTCCCAGAGTTGGGAAATTTCCGCCATCTGCCATCTTGAAAGTTTGCACAGTTTTGACATTGAAAGGCCTGGTAACAAGTATGGCGGAGAAGCACGATCAAGTTTCATCGAAAAAGGTATTTTATAGCCTTTTATACACAGTGTCTCAATTTTTACCAAGTTTAAACCAGTATAGACCTGTATGTTTGCATTGGAAAACATATATGTGCTTTGTTATCTTAGAAATATAGTGGGGAATTTTGACGGCCGTTTCTTGCCCAAAAGCGGGGATGCCCTGGGTTGCCCGCACCCCCCCCCCTCAGGGGGAAAACATTGATAGGTGCATAAATAAACAAGTCAAGAGGTAAAACTTTGGCAACAAAGAAAAAATTTAACAACATAATTGAATAAATTGTCTAACCTATTCTCTGTTGACGTTTGACTGTATTTGCTTTTATCTTTGGTTTTATATCTGTCAGCAGCCATCTTCAAACTCCACTTTTGAAGGCATACGGGGTTGAATTCCGGCTGTTGTATTACACACTTCGCATTTTGCACGCCTTCGGCTTTGAGATCCTGTATAACTTCTTCGCGATTCATAGCTTCCTCGCATCCTTCCAGTTCAAAACAACAATGACATTCACTATTATTTGTTAGTAAGGTTATGTCACAATTCCCACAATTGCACCTGTGATAAAAAAGGAGAAAAACATTCGAAGTTTATAGATAGAAATCAAAAAATTTCCACGCATATATTCGATATTAATAATCCGAAACAAACACGAATTTTATCGATGTTTACCAAGTACTTACCACTCGCTCACTTCAACAGAACCATCCAGTCTTCTACCCTAGCTTTTCTTGTAGTTCTAGCCGTTCTCTTTCTTGCCTGTTGTAGTTTTGTAGCCACTCGTCGTCAGCCAAAGGTTCATCGGCATATGCTAGGCCCGCGTTGTCCTCTTCAACGCTCGAGCTATTATCCGAACTTCCAAGGTCAGGGCATTCCATTATGTACCCCGGAATAAAGTTTATATCAGAGTCATCAGTTTGATAACTCTCCTCCGAATCAGTTTCATGGTCAGACATAGTATTTTTGAGCAAATATAAAACAGAATCACCGACTGAAACAGCAAAACAACAATCCAAATCGATCAAAGCTAAATGCCGACTGCCTTGCGTTACGTCAGAAATTGGGCTAGACCCAGACTCCTTGCCACGGCGGACAAGGTCCATTGAAAGCCAACTTTAAAACGCCATAAAAATGGAACGATTTGACCAAATTAAAAATTTTTTTCACGGATACGCTAGAAATCATACCTAGATTTAATATCGCCAATAAAAATTTTAGCTGCCAGGGGCACTTTAATCAAAAATTTTCTAACGCCAATAGGATAACCATTCCAAGACATAAAAGATTTGATAGTCTCAATTTGATTGTTGAAAAGTGTTTTCAAACTGCAAATTTTAAAAGCCCGGTAGAACAGAGATTTAACCCATGCAGTTTTGCGATGAAAAGGCTCGAAACTTGAAAAATGTGAATACTGACCGGTGTGGGTGTCCTTACGATAAATGTCAGTACCATCAACCGAGACTTTTATGTCTAAAAAATGAACTACGACATCGGGAAATGTATCAACTGTGAAATTTAAGTTCGGATCTTCTTTATCTTCTTTACTAAATCCTCTTACTTTAAATGATCATTCTCTTTCTGACTCTTTTGATGCGGTGACCAATATTAACAACATTCCCAAACATTTGTTTCAAGAAGGCTACCAGTTCGTTTCTTTCGATGTTGAATCCCTTTTTACCAACGTTCCACTTTCCCGGACAGTCAAAATTATTCTAGATCGTATTTATAAAGACGAATTAATTGCAACCACTTTGAAAAAGCGCACTTTGAAGAAACTCATTTTGGATTGTTGCAACAAAACTGCCTTTTCTTTTGACGAGCAAATTTATGTCCAAAAAGACGGCGTTTCTATGGGTTCATCATTAGGGCCTGTCTTAGCTAATATAATTTTAACTGAATTTGAAAGATTAATAGTTTCCGAGTTGATTGCCGATGGTACTATAAAATTCTACAAAACGTTACGTTGATGACACTCTTGTTTTGATAAAACCTTCCAATATTTCCGCCGTTTTAGCTAAGTCCAATAGTTTCGATCCGAACTTAAATTTCACAGTTGATACATTTCCCGATGGCGTAGTTCATTTTTTAGACATAAAAGTCTCGGTTGATGGTACTGACATTTATCGTAAGGACACCCACACCGGTCAGTATTCACATTTTTCAAGTTTCGAGCCTTTTCATCGCAAAACTGCATGGGTAAAATCTCTGTTCTACCGGGCTTTTAAAATTTGCAGTTCGAAAACACTTTTCAACAATCAAATTGAGACTATCAAATCTTTTATGTCCTGGAATGGTTATCCTATTGGCGTTAGAAACTTTTTGATTAAAAAGCTTAAAACCAAATTTATTGATAGTTCTACTTCCGATGCCGTTAATCATGACACGGATGATGATATGTTGCCTAAAATTTGGATTCGTATTCCTTATCTCGGAAACCGTGGCGATTTTCTTTTAAAATCATGTCTTAATAAAACACAAAGATTTCTTTCTAAACCGGTTAAGTTCGTCACTATTTATGACACTAAAAAGCTTTCTTATTTTGTTTCCAACAAAGATAAACTTCCTCCTTTATCTCGTAGTAATCTTGTATACGAGGTCGCTTGCCCTGGTTGTGGCAAAACCTATATTGGCATGACACAAAGATGCCTTTCTGTACGTTTGAAAGAGCATGCAACTGTGCTCTCTTCTAGTGCAGTGGGCCAACATTTTTCTGAGTGTGAACATGCTCAATTCTTAGCTACTTTACAAGACCAGTTCACATTACTCAACGATCTTCCTTCGCCTTCTGACAACTCTTCTCCTATTGAAAACCTTGTTTTCAACAGCTACAGAATACTTCACATTACAAAATCTAACAACTACAACATTTTTGCTTTTCTTGAAGCACTGCTTATCAAACACAACAAACCTTTTCTTAACACTGGACTTAAAGCTAGTAAAGAACTACAACTGTTCACATAACACTTTAACTTAATCTTCTTCTACATGTCGGGTCTTTCCCTTTCTACCTCAATCCTTCTAATATATTAAACATTGAATTCTCAAGATGTCCTGTATTTTCGGAATTTGTTTTTTACTTTATTTTTTTAAATTGTCGGCTGGTCATGGTTTTTTCAGTTGGGTAAAAGTTTAGGTTATTATCGTCATTATCGCTAATTTGTACAGGATCGATCACCATTATCACGGACAATTTCCGCGTGGAATAAGTGACTTCGAGAGGTTATTTGTTCTTCGTTACTTAACGCACAAATTCGAGATAGACTGACCATTCTTTCATTCGGGAACGACGAAAATTCTGATTTACTGAATGTTTGAGACGATTGTGCTTGGGGAAATGTAGTTGAAAACCCCGAGTACGGTTTTGTGATGGTTGTTGTCGTGTAGCTTGATACTGATTAGGTTTCTTGCAGCTAGTAGTTTTACTAGAATAAGTTCTATTTGAGCGACTACGAGTGTGTGTGCGGCTGGAAGTACACGTACAAGACGTATCAATCAAGGGTAAGGAGTTAATCCAGGATGAATTTTGCCGTAAAAATCGCGAGTTGGGTAAAATACTTTTCCTATGCGATTTGACATTCTGACCTTCAGATGGATTAGGGCCACTTGGGTTATGAATAAACTGGTCACTGCTATAAACTTTAGAGATTTCTCCCTCAGAGCGTTTTTCCGACTGCAACGAGGCGTTCTAATTAGTATTTACCTCGTGACTAGCTTGTATATTAGCTGCCATAGGTTGACTAACCCTTTCGTTTTCCTCATTACTGCCCTCGGGTTTATTGTCATTCGGTTTTAGACATACATCCTTCATATTATCACGTACCGGTGATTCCACCTCAATACGGTCATTATTGATTTGATCACATTCTTTGGTCCGATTCAGGAATGGAAGAATTCCGCATTGTTTTGATTTCAAAAGTTTAACTGAATTTATGCGCATTAATGTTTCACTTAAAGATTCATTACTCGCTTCAGTTGACTTGAGTTTATTCTCAAGGCAGACAATAGTATTATTCAAATCATTTATCTCCTGATTTCTTCCCCTAACTAAAATAGTTAAATCGGACTCAAGACGACTGTTTTTATCTTTTTCATGAGCAAGTTCTCGCTCAAGTTGGCTTACATTCTCGCTTAAGTTGGCTTACATATATATATATATATATATATATATATATATATATATATATATATATATATATATATATATATATATATATATATATATATATATATAAGGAGTGCATAATATTAACACACAATTTATTAAAACTGTATAATTATTTCGAATCTAAATCAGATTCATCTTCAGCAGTGTTTTGCAAGATATGTCGTTATATTTACAAGCGTGAGCAATTTTAAACAAGCTAGCGTGCGAAAATGTGCGTAAGCAATCAATAGCATTTATTCGTGATGAAGCATGAAGTTCACGTAGTTCTTTCATTCAGCGCACGTTAATTAATTAAATAACTGTAGTTCTCTACTAGCTTTTAGTCCATTATTAAGACTTGATTTACCTCTTTTAATGTGTAGCGCTTCTTTATATAGTAATAAATTCCAGTTTCTGGAAGAATCAATGATCTTGGTGTTTGAGAGTACAAGTTCTGTCAGTTGTGTGTTAGATTGTGATGTTAAGAATGTTTTGTCGTAGCAGCAGTCTAAGTGTTTGTACACAGCACTTTCCTTGTCTTTGTACGCATGTTCCTTTACCCGTTCTAGAAGCGTTCGGTCAGTCTTGCCTATATAGCTGTTGTTGCATTTAGGGAAAGTAAATTGGTATACAACGTTGGATTTGTTTTGTTTAGGTACTTTGTCTTTTGCGTTCGTAAACAAGTTTAGTTTAGTTGTTGTTACTCTCGTCCTAATCTGCACGTTCGTAATGTTGAGACAACGTAATAGTTTCCTCTTGAGTGCACGTAAAAGTTGTTCGCCTTTCGTCCCAGTGCATGGCATTTCTAGCCAAAGCGTCGGTCTAGTTTCGTTCGATTCTGTCGTGTTGTTGTCTTGGTCGTTTGTTGTGTTTTGGTTAAAGCGTTTTATGAGTGAAAAGACAACACGTTTAGGATACCCATTCCATGACGCAATTTTCTTAAGAAATTGCAATTCTTGGGCTAGTTTCGTGGGTGAACAGATTTTGTTAATTCGACCAAGAAGCGAGCGAATCCATGCAAAGCGATGTTTCCATGGTACGAAACTGTCAAAGTGAGTGTATTGACCTGTAAAAGTATGTTTTCGGTATATGGAAAACTTGTTGCCATCTAGGTTAAGATCTAGAAAGTGTGGTGGTTCGTCTGAAAATACGTCATAGGTAAACTGTATATTACGGTCAAAAGAGTGGAATTCGTTCAGAAGGCAATCAATGTCGTCATGTTTGAATAGTAGTAGTGTGTCATCTACATATCGGCAATAGAATTTAATTATAATGCCGCTATTAATTAGAGGATTGATTACAATGCGCTCAAATTCGGTTAGGATAATGTTCGCCATCACTGGACCAAGAGAGCCACCCATGCTAACATCATCAATTTGTTCGTAATAGTGTTTGTCCGTTTACACTACTTTTGCGCACGCTAGCTTGTTTAAAATTGCTCACGCTTGTAAATATAACGACATACCTTGCAAAACACTGCTGAAGATGAATCTCATTTAGATTCGAAATATACAGTTTTAATAAATTGTGTGTTAATATTATGTACTCCTTATTCGGAATAACTTTTGTTTTATTTTTGCTGAAATTATCAGCCGGAATATGTATATATATATATATGGTTTCGTTGGTTATAAAAACTTTTGGTAAAGTGCTTCATGGAAAGCAGAGCAAATTTAAATTAAGGTACAACAATCAACCAAATCCACTAGGCATCTTTATTGCTAAATAGTTTCCTACCACAAAATGTGGCACTCTTCAGATAAATTGACCTAATGACTATAGACTAAAACTTACAAGGTTATATATGTATACAAGTGGATGAGACTTTAAAAACCTAAATCTGAACCGAAGTCTATCCCCGGATTTCTGCCTCATCGCTTGATTATGAACTCTAAAATATTCTACCCTATGAACTGTCTACAGGTATTGTAAATGTTCCTGCATGGTTTGCGAGGACGA